GTTTTTTCGTTTTGCAGATGGTCACTTTTATTTCTCAACATTGAGATGTTCTTCTGGCGTTCTTTACCAACTAGGGCTTTGAGATTAACAACTTCTGTCTCCTTGCTATGTGCTTTTGAATTCAAATGTTGTATGCAATTTTATACTGACTTGTAACAAAATGGGCAGAAGTGTCTAGTATTGTAAACACGGTCAGATTTTTTAAATTTTCCAGATTTTGTTGTTTTTGAAGAGATGGTTTTTCTAATAAAGATTGAGGGATAAGTAATATCTCTGATAATTTCCTCCTCAACAATGTCTATGTCACTATCAGACTCTGAAGAAGATGCATCATTTTCATTGGACTGTGGGTTACATAATGGACCTAATGGTGGAAGGTAAGGGATCTCTTCAGACACGTCACTGTCAGAATTCTCTACAAGATCCTTGTCAATGCCCTTATTAGTTGTAGATGAAATAAGCACATCATCTTCATAACTCTTTCTCTTAACACCTTTAACACACGTGGAGGATGATATATCCTCATCAGAAGTACTCTCTTCTTCCTCTGACTCTGAAGGAATAAACTCTTAATCCAAATCCATTTCATCAATCCAATCATCATCCTCATCACTGCTAAAAATGACGTATTCCATGAGGTCTTTAAGTAACTTTTCATCTTTAGCAGAGAGAGTAGATGAAGTTGGTAATGAAGACTCTAGGGACTGTTCACCAGTAATGGTAGTGTCTTCACATGAAGCTGGAGGGCTCTGTAAAGTCAAGGTGTGGGGTGGTGCCCTCTCCTGTCCCGGCTTATCACTTGTGGTAGGTACCTCTTCACATGAAGCTGGACCGCTCTGTAAACTCAAGGTGTGGGGTGGTACCCTCTCTTGTCTCGGCTTATCACTTGTGGTAGGCTCCTCTCCACATGAAGCTGGAGGGCTCTGTAAACTCAAGGTGTGGGATGGTGCCCTCTCTTGTCCTTGCTTATCACTTGTGGAAGGCACCCCTTCACATGAAGCTGGACCGTTAAACTGTGTACCCTCCCTTGTCTCGGTTTATCACTTGTGGTAGACTCACATGGTGTAGGGTGATGCCCTTATCACTTGTGGTAGGCTCCTCTTCACATGAAGCTGGAGGGCTCTGTAAACTCAAGGTGTTGGGTGGTGCCCTCTCTTGTCCTTGCTTATCACTTGTGGATGACTTGTGGTGTAGGCATGCCCTTTCTTGTCCCGACTTATCACTTGTGGTGGGCAACTCTTCATGTGAAACTGAAGGGCTCTGTAAAGACAAGGTGTGGGGTGGTGCCCTCTCCTGTCCCGGCTTATCACTTGTGGTAGGCACCTCTTCACATGAAGCTGGAGGGCTCTGTAAACTCAAGGTGTGGGGTGGTACCCTCCCTTGTCTCGGCTTATCACTTGTGGTAGGTACCTCTTCACATGAAGCTGGAGGGCTCTGTAAACTCAAGGTGTGGGGTCGTGCCCTCTCTTGTCCCGACTTATTACTTGTGGTATTACTGAAGCTGATGTGTGGCACCATTTTCACATGAAGCTGGAGGGCTCTGTAAAGACAAAGTGTGGGGTGGTGCCTTCTCCTGTCCAGGCTTATCACTTGTGGTAGGCACCTCATCACATGAAGCTGGACCGCTCTGTAAACTCAAGGTGTGGGGTGGTACCCTCTCTTGTCCCGACTTATCACTTGTGGTAGGCACCTCTTCACATGAAGCTGGAGGGCTCTGTAAACTCAAGGTGTTGGGTGGTACCCTCTCTTGTTCCGGCATATCACTTGTGGTAGGCACTTCTTCACATAAAGCTGGAGGGCTCTGTAAATTCAAGGTGTGGGGTTGTGTCCTCTCTTGTCCCGACTTATTACTTGTTGAGGGCACCATTTTCACATGAAGCTGGAGGGCTCTGTAAAGACAAAGTGTGGGGTGGTGCCTTCTCCTGTCCCGGCTTATCACTTGTGGTAGGCACCTCTTCACATGAAGCTGGAGGGCTCTGTAAACTCAAGTCTGACGTGGGCGAATTTAAAACGGGGCAAATTCAAAGTAAATGGAATAATTTCTTCAACAGCAATTTTTTCGGGTGAATTTAAAACGGGGCAAAATTGTTTTCAGAAGTGAAAGGGCGAAAATAACACTGGACGAAAATAACCCTGTATACAGTATAAGAATAAACAGGTGCCATTTTGGAGTTTACAAAAGAAATCCTGAAAACGTTGCAACTGGATTACCGTTGTCTGAGAAAAGAGTGAATGCTGCTGAATACCCGGCCACCCAAACTCTGTCACCTTTGATTAACTCAAGATTGATCATGTTAGAAGCCGATGGATCATGATCATCTGCACTTCCATATGCACCGATGACAACTTGAGAAACACCATTTTTGTTATTTTTACCCATGAGTTGTTCGTTTCAAATGATGTGATAGAACAATAGAAAGAATAAGTTCCGTTTTCAGGGGCAGTAAATATCCCATCATTTGGATTATAAGCATTTCCTTTATTGGTAATCACATGTGGGAAGATAACTGTTTCGTCCCTTCGGAAGGCTGCGTTACTTGTAATCCCCGCTGTAAACGCCACTTCTGTCAATCGAGACTCTGTAAAATTGTTGTGTATAAATTATTCTTGGTCATTTCTGAATTCAAGATTTTCATTATTAATTCAAAATGTTAAATACATAATTATGTTTGTTTGTATGAGGATATGTGAATGTGTAAAATCCTGTTACATGAATCAAAGACATGTTTGACATTCACCATTGTTTAATAAGGACGTGTTTTTAGAATCAGCTATTTATTCTTAATTTTAAACAACTTGTCATAAGGGACAAGAATGGTCATGAATAGTGAGGGGGAAGATGAACAGTAAAACCGTATAAATTTAGCCAAAGTTTCTAGAAATTGGTTGAAATAATTTGAATGGTATTTTTGTGTTGCATATGAAATTCCTTAGTTTAAGGAATGACACATTCTAAACTACAAACTAAAAGTACAACGTAAACTATTTTTTTAGTTTATTATTATTTCTGTCATTTGTAAACACTGTTTTCCTCTCAAACAAGAAAAGACTTACCATAAGCCACATTTAAGTTCAAAAGTTTTGCGTTTATTTGTTGATTTTCTTCCCTGACAGTGGCTAATTCTTGTTGTAAAGATAATATCAGTTGGTCTCTAGAGTTGAATTTTTTCTTCAGTTTTTCCACATCCTTGATGAACTCATGTATAAGCTGGTTCCTCAGAACTGATTCTTGCTGAAAAATATTCTCCAGTGTTGATTCTGTGCTCTGCAGACCAACACCAATAAACTTAACACACAAAAGAATATTATACACCCGCTAGCCATTCTAAATGCGTATATGTAAATAAGTGTCATAAGATTGAACATCAATTGTAACCTTTCTGATCAGACTTTTTTTAAGTTGAGAGATAAACAAAATAAATACGTAAATTATGTAATCAGGACCATTTATTAGATAACTGGTTTACTATCAGTAAAAGGACATTGACATGAGCTTGCTAGGGGTAGGACATGCAAACATTAACAATGCAAAGACAGTATCTGAAATAACATTATCTAATTTCATTGAAAAATGATACATATTAAAAAGTAGAATAATTTATGTAAAAAAGGGATTGAAGAACAAGTCGTTTGCTGAATTCAAAGAAACGACCACTTAGTACGGCATTTTAAATGTGTTTTAACTCAGAACATCACAAATGCAGTAAAATACGAAGTTACTTAATATTTTCATTTTTGAAAATTTGAACGCGAGCACTATATACTGTGAACATATTGCATTTGTCTCATGTTGTTTAATTAACTCATAAAACCACTACGCGTAAATAGTGTCATTGTAAATAGCTTTTTTCACACAAATACTATAACATTTGATAAGAGGTTTCTATCATATATTATAAGCATCAAGAAAGAGATACATCTCTCTTAGTAGACTAAGAAGGCTGTTCAGTTGAGGAATGTTTTTAAGTTTTGTGTGTGAATCAAACAGACTTGTCAGGTAGACGTATTTCAGGGCTTCATGAACAATATGCCTAAGTGCAAGTCTGTGTGATTCACACCAATAATTCACATAAAACTTAAAAACATTCCTTATATTTACATTTAACATGTTTGGAAGCAACTAAAATATACGCAATATTTGAATTTCTCCCTGAATCAGAATCAGAAAATTTATTTTGAGTCGGATTTTTATAACAGAAACATAAGCTCTGTAGAGCTTTTGACCGACATGCCTTATATTGTTGCATTTTTACCTAACGTCGCTGAAGTCTCATTGTGACGTCACGTTAACGCACTTTTCTCCGTGTATATTTCTATGCGTGAGTATACACGAAAATGGTTTTCAAATCAATTTCACAGCTGGCCTAGTAGAAACATACAGCGAATGTGAAGACTAGATAATGTCCTCGGTGCTCGGAAAGAAGCAAAAGACGCTATTCAATGATTTAGTTTTCATGATTTCACTTAATATTCTCTTTATTAAAGGACAAGTTCGTTACATTTTTTATCCAATTTCTGATTGTTTTAGAACATTACTCATTTTTGGTATGACCCTCAGTATAGTGGAATATGGCATATCCTTTAATTTCTTGGACTTGTTTCTTCCTTCTGAAAGGTGCTTTTTGTCAATTTTGGAAAATGAAGCAAGTCAAAAGGCGATGAGCATAGTATTGTAAATTTTGTTTTGAGGGTTTTAAACTAAAGATTCAAGTTTCATTATACGTTTGAATTTAAAACAACCGTGGATAACTACAATTACTGATATTTTAAGATAATTGTTTTGATATTCTTACACGCTGTCCTTTTCACTCATTTTGAAAACATAGAGTGACCTTCGAGTACTAAGCTTTTTTACTGTCACAGGTTTCTTTAAAACAGTGTTCACTACTCCCGAAATGATGTATTTCCAATTGCTATGCATCTTATAGTCAATCATACATCATCAGTGATTTTTTATTAACATTTGGCAAAGAGCATATTGGTTTTTTTTTTATATATAATTCTTTGTTGGCAAAGACAATACCTATTTTTGATACCCATTATAAAATGTTTTAATTATTGAATTCCACCTGCTAATTTGTCTATAAAACAGACATTGATTGCCCTTAAATTTACATATTTCAGCGAATGAATATTTCTTCGGTATTCTTAACAAGTTTTACAGCAGCTTTAATGAAGCGATTTAATTTCACTCTAGTTTACTGATTATTTACCAATCATTTATAATGCAGTGTCTCGAATACCCTTGTTTTTCAGCTTTTCACACTTAAACCATGTGATAAAAGGGGGTCACATGAACTATTATAAATTCATTAAAGATTAAAGTTATTTAATATCTGTATTGTACGTCATACAGTTAAGGACATTATCTATTGAACAGCCCTCTTATGTACCCTTTTTAAGCTGGTACAGATTACTGCGTATCTAGATTTTTAAAGAATTAATCTCAAAGTATGTTCATAGAAATTTCTTCTATCCAGGGTGCTGCATTTACAAATATTGAATATGTAAATGATAATGAAGTGTCGAATGTGAAAATATATACTATTTGACTTTAGACTGGACAATAAAAGAGTGGTCTTCGGTGACACTTAAGAAGTAACATTGCATGATGGGATTTAAACAACGTAGGAAACTGCAAATATTAATAAACCTGAATGTTGTCATGACAGCAAGGTTGTTTTATCAAAGTTATGTGTATGGTAATTACACAGCATGCCTTAGGTTGCCTATAAAAGGAGAAAGGCCGCCATTGCTCGTGATGAAAATGCTTAAATTAATATGTTTTGGCTTACAATAGAGACCAAGGAGCTTGAGGTGCCAATCAGGGGTGATGAATTTTTCTTTTTTGAGCATGAACTAGACTCTTTTTTGTTGTACCATACAGGGTCGCATGAATATGTTAATTCACACAACCACTGTCATTCTTAAATGTAGAATTCAAACCTAAAAAGTCTTTATGATGCAGTTATGTAACCAAGTTTGGAATTTTTATTTTCCCTTTGAAATTGATTCATGCAAACTACAATTCCATAATTTGACCTGATTAAAACAACAATGACATTGTCAATCACAAACCAGTTTTATTTACGATATCCAGTTTACTGCATAAACATTGTTAATTACAAAAATTGTATAAAAAATCAATAAAGCATTTTGGTATCCGTCCATTATTTGAAAGTATGCTTTATCCACGTAATTAGAAAGGAAAGTATGAAGTTAGCATCATAGTTATACTTTTTAATTGAACACTTCTATCATTAAGGTACAGATATTCAAAAGTTTCCTATTGTGATTAGAGAGTAGAGAATTTTTTTAAGATCTCACACTAATCTAAAAGAATTTATTTCCTAGCTCTTACCTAAGAATTCAAGAACAAAAAAACGTTTTGCAAATATATTAATGGGGATTTATCTGCTTGAATAAAATTATCGTTCGCAATCTTTTCTTCTCATTTTTTTTTTTCAAAATAATCTATGAAAGAAAAAACAGGCTATAATATTGGTGTCTTAGAAAATTCATTTTATATATACATTGTTGTTCGATGTCACCATTATTATTGATTTATCAATCATATAAGCGAATTGGTAGCAAAGAAAAATAGTATAGATAGCTGGTAAAACAACGAGTTTATTTAATTGATCGATTGGAAATTTACTCTGCAGATTTTATTTTTTTTTCTTCAATTTATTACAATGATGGAAGAATGTTTATCTTAAAAATCTTCAAATTATTATATATACCTCATTTGTTACATAATTAGGAGCAAAAAGGGGCAAGAATGCTAAATCATGGGCGTTTTGTATCTCAAATACGGGAAATCTGCAAAAAATCTTAAGGAAGATTTGTATTATTCATGGAAAATGCGATATCAATTTGAAAAGATATATATTTGCAAATCATCGGGATATAGCTACATGAAAAAATCATCAAATCATTCCGTCAAAACCTCAGTAATGATCTTTGCTAGTCCAATGAAAAAATTCTGACGTTATGGACAAGTGTTGAAATGCTGAAACTTTTATGCAGCAAAAGTCAATGAAATTTATTATATAAATATATAAATGGATAATATTTATACTAGAATTTTAATTTAAAATACAATCAATGTACCTATTTCTTTACGTCGTATAAAGATAAAGATTTTCAAGGACATTGTAAATATAAGCATATGTCAAGTGATATTTCTGTTCATGTTTAAGACATATACCGATACATATTTTATAATGACAAATAAGGGGTTGGATAGGGTGCCAGAAAGGAATACGCATCCCTTATAGAACTGTCACATCCAACATGAGATACAAATAAAGACGTTTTGCTTGGCTACTGTTTCCTGAGCAATTCTGGCTTTGAAAGGTATACGATGGGTTACCAAAAAGTTAGTGGACTGATGCTCTTAGATTAGTACTATGTTGTCTGACCTTACAAAATTTATGAGGTACATAAAACAACCAAAAAATGTTAAAATTTTAGCTTGATACATTTATTTTTTTTCCAAATTATTATAAAATAAAAACGACATTATATGATCACCCGGCGCCGTCGCCGTTTAGTTCGATGATTTCCGACGTCATTATTTTTTAATATCCACTTCTTCTTCCTCGTACACTTATTTTGATGAGATTCCCTAGAGCTGAGTAAGTACTTTAATCCGTTTTGTTTATATGACTTTACAATGCAGCAGCTTTCAATGCATATATTATTGCAAATGGATTTATACATTGGGAGAGATCCTTGCTTGACTGTGCCAACATATTTTGTTTTTTTGAGTTCAATATGGCTAAAAACATGATCAACGTCAGTATTTGACGTGATTGATTTTTCATCCCTTGACTACAAATCGACATTAACTGTGCTCCCTTTTCTCTCTGAATCTATGTTGGCATTAAAAACAAGTAATCTGGATGCATATGCATTGTTTCAACGCACTTTAAAAAAAAATTCAAAGTGCGTTAAATTTGGGACCAAGATAACACACTTTGAAAATAATGAATTTCTTTTCAAAGTGCGTTTATATCGTCCATATTAACGCACTTTGAAAAAATGTAATGCTTGATAAATATTTTTACAAATAATCGGTATGATTGACTTTGTTTGGATAATTTTTTGGTGATAGGGACACTTCAGGACCTGAGATATTTATGTTTCAAATATCTAAGGTTTTTATAAATATTATAAAAGAGAGATTTTTTCAGACAAAATAGAGAGATGATTGTTTAAAACCATTATTTCGTTTCTTTTTTTAAATTTCTAGTCTGTAATTAGAAGAATAGGGGGAGGGGCTAAAAGTGAAAGACTTAAAGCATAACATTTATCTTAAGAAAAAAGGACAAATAGATTTTTCAAGACTTTGAAAATTCTTTCTTTCTCACACGTTCTACTGTAGTGAAAAATTTCTAGTTTTCATCTGTTTTAAGTTACTTCAATTATCAATAGTTTTCAACGTCATACCGGTATGTAAATACATATCCATTGTTTGGGTATAGCATACACGTAGGCATCGAAACCGGGCGAAGGGCACGGGAAGAGGGGCTTTTTGGGGCTTATTTCTCCCCTCCACTCGTTTTATTTGTTACCGACGCCTGTGTATTGAAAGAGAAAGAGTTAGGCTGAGATTTTCTACTTTTCTTCTCCTCTTCTCGACGGGAGTAAATTCAATTCAATAGTTTTTTTTTTGAAAGATAAATAACACTGAAATAAAATTCTTTCCATTACTAAACACCGAATCCAGAATTTTTGTTTTTATATATTTTTTCAAAGTGCGTTAAGTGTCTCAATGCTGAAATATATTGATGTATACTCTTGACGCACTTTGAAAAATATTTTCAAAGTGCGTTTAGTATGTCCAAAATTTAACGGACTTTGAATTTTTTTTTTTCAAAATGCGTAATATTTTCAAAGTGCATTGCCACAATGCATGTTATTTCTCAGTAACCAGTTTAAACATTTCCTAGGTGTATACCAGTTTTACAGGGGCAAAACTCCATAGAATGTTGGAAAAGGAAATCCCTCCCCCCTTTTGACGTCATTTTCAAGGTAATATTTATTTGGATACTGCATGTAAGATTTACGATAAAATTTCATAGAACTTCCAGAATGTGGTAAAAATTAAAAATGTTTTGGAACAATAGTGTCCCAACACATACCTGAATGAAAGGGATTTTTGGATGTCAAATGTTTATATTCAAATAGTTTTTCTTATTTTCATTTAGGTCGTAAAAAGGTGGTTTTAGAGGTTGCACTGCATTGGCATACCATTACTGACAAAAACATTTCTAATTTATAAAAAAAAATAAAATTCATGATTTGTGATTTATTCCATAGATAGAAAAGATTATAATAACTATATATTTAAAAATTCATTCATGTACCTAAAGCGGTTTTAATTTTATAACGCTCATCCCAAACTTTTTGATAGCCCCTCGCACTTTTCTATGCCTATTTTTACTTTGGAGTGAATGCTTTTGTTGAAATCAATTGTGCAGGAATACAATGTATTATATTGAAATGCAAACAATATGACCAAAACTGGCAGGAAAACATGTAAAATTCTTTAAATGAACCTCTTAGTTTTTTGTCCTTTTTTAATCATCTTTTCGGGTGTCATCAGCTTTCTTCAACGTGTATATGTACACCCCGATGAAATTATACAGGTAGAAATCGAAAAAAAATTATTTCATATAGGAATGAGTATTAGGGGGAAACTGACATTGTTATGCATGTATACTATACTATTTTACCTTTTTTTACAATGTACATATATATACATACATGTATATAGTTTCAATCTAAATGAAAATGGTTCGTTGGTATCTTTATTAATCTTAGCTTTATATGCAGAAAGTATCTTTAATTCAAAATGAATAAACAAAAAATAAAGTTAAAGTAACCTTTAAATAAAGTTTAGTCATTAAGCAAAATTTGACACAATGAATCAGTTGTCCCTTTCAAATACAACGTTTCTAGTATTATAAGATTTATTTTTCATTCTCACTCTTAATCAGGAAATATAAAGTGTATATAGGTATACTGAAAAAAAAACATATTACAATACGATGTTTTATCAAAGAACTGCAGTACATATATTGGTATAATTACAAAGCCCTTATTATATAAGATACATAAAAATACAGAGTGATGAATAATTTATCGAATCTATCCTGAAACCTGTAGGGCACAAATATATACAAGAAATTGAGTTCTGACTTACTTTATTAATTCCATGTTGTTTCATGAAGGTCAGTTTTCCCCTTCAGTTGAAAAATTGGATAGCTTTTGGAAATTTTTTTGGTAAAGAGTGATATGGATATGGATATCATAAAGATGCATCTCTCTTTGTTCAGCGTTCTGACGTTATTTTCTTGCGGTATGTAGCGTCTGAAGATAATCTTTACCTAATCCGTAAAATACGGTTATCAAATGATTCATTTTCTGAGAGACATTATATTTTTAGATTTATTTAAAACACGTTTAGCACTTTGAATATATTATTTATTGAAGTGTATTGTAGTTTTAAAACGATGGTTGTCAAGATACAACATGATTATTTATCTTCATGTATCAAGGAAAATGAAATTTTTTTTTTCCAAAAAATAGATGATTTTCAATATAATCGGTCTATATCTTTATACCCCCCGCTTGAAAAGCGGGAGAGTATATAGTAATCGTTGATTCCGTCCGTCTGTACGTCCGTCCGTCCGTCCGTCTGTTACGCTTTGGGGTACCCTTCTCTTATCCGCAACTCCTCTCATACCAATGAAGGAAATTTAATGAAACTTTCACAGAATCTTTATTACATATTGCCATTGTGAACCTCCTATTTTACTTTTTGATCTGACGTATATTTTGAATTTTCCAGAGCAAAACATGGATACTGCCATTATATTCATATGGGAGGCGGGGGGTATTATTTAGTGAGCTCATTGCTCACAGTACCTCTTGTAAAAAGTGAATATAGTTTTTTTTTCCAAAAAAACTCCTCTTATACCACTGAGTGAAATTTTTTCAATCTTTATTACATATTGCCATTGTGCACCTCTATTTTACTTTTTGATCTGACACATATTTTGGGTTTGCCCCTTGACAAAACGTGGACTTTGTCAATAATCATATTTCATAAGAGGGGCATACTTTTTTGTAGATATTTAAACTTTATGTCTTAAAAGAATGAACAAATCATTGCCAAATGCAAAAAAATAGAATGTTCTGTTAATTACATTTTCTTTATATTTTTATATTGCCCCGATGTTTTTACTGCCTTTTCTCCACGCAGTAGGAGTCAGTATTCTTTTCGTACTGTGATGACGTAACAGTTGTTCGATTGCAAGATAACACATTGTGAACGTGAAATTAACAGCTGTTAAACTCAGTCTCGGAGTATTTCTTCCACTCTTGAAAATATCATAAATGCATATCTTCATCATCAATATCTTTAATGTTTGCATGCCAACACACATAAACAATAATAAAACATTTCTCTGATGCTTTCAGTGGCCCTTGTTTGTTTTATAATAAATTTGGTCTGAGCTTGATTGCTGTTCTCTATCTTCAAATTAAATACATGCTCACATGTAAAATTAATCTTGTCATGTCAAAGATATTTTGTGATAAAATAATGTTTACGATCTGTCATTAATTGGCAAAAGCAGTTCAAACATCATTTATCTACACACTCAAACTCTTTCAGAATTTGAATAACTTGGTAAACAATCATATCTCCATGATTATTTTGCCACATACATGTACATGTTTGCATCTGTAAAATCTTGTTTTAAGACAAAGGCTATTTTGTGATGTTATTTACAATATTTAACCCGAGTTTCCTATGTCATGTTCTCGTTCTGTCGTTCTACGAGGAAACGTCCAGCCATTCATCCATGTCTCATGAGTCATGAAAGAAAAACCACGAGTTTAAGAAAATCAAATCCTTTAACAAAATATGAGTTACTTTTGGCGACATATTCTACTGGTAATTCATAATTTCAACCTTTTTAACTTAACATATTGCGTGTCCAGTTGAAATTGTTACTTTAAAATAGCGCACAATTAAATGAAGTAAGGCTTTGTTTGGAGTAGTGTTTTCTCGTTGATTTTAACATTTTTTATTTTATATTAATAATTGTCACAATGAACGTTAAAAATGACAATTTTATTTGCAAAAATATCTCCCAACATAAGTCTAAAAAGGTTGCAAATGTAACGTATGTCTAATATACATGTGTACATTGAATAAAAAATGAACATACTCTGATATGAAAATATTGCCCGTATTAGCTACAACAAGCTTAATCAGATACTATGTTCCCTATTTAAGCAAAAATGAAGAACATGCGTGGATCTAGGTTGTTAAAAAGGGACACACTTTAAGAAGAGTGGACAAGACTAAAGGAGGTTAAATTGGAAAGTTTTTTTTTTTGCAAAACTCTTATGACAAATAGCCCAGGAATAAGTTTTACACACTCAGAATGTAATATGAATTAACGACCCTGACCTTTTTACCTAAAAAAGAATCTCTTCCTAATTAGGCACTTGGGAGTTGTGTTTGAAATTTCAATGCCAAAGCTCAAAAACTTCTCTAGATATCGTGCTGAAAAGAAAATGTTAAAACAGATATTTTTGATTTATAGACCTTGGCATTTCACCTTTTGACCTTTTTCTTCTCAGCTATGTTAAGGAAGGTCAGAGTTCACATTCCATTGTATACTGTATAGGAAGTTTAATTGTGACGTCATTGAAATTTAACAAGCTACAAAAATTAATTAACAACATAATCATTCGTAAATAACAACTTGCATTTATTTATTTTATCGGTTATTTATAAAATCTTGTAAAATTGTAATACTTGATAGCAATACAATCGTGTAATAGAAGAAAGTCTTTCGTGAAATATGACGTCATCAGCCTTGACACGACGCAGCATAGGTGATCCGGAGGACTAGATTCACTGATTTAATAAATACAAGAATGCTTAAATAGATATGATATAATTGCTAATTTTTAAACCTAATTATTAAAATTGAAAGAAAATAATTTATTAAATACAATCTGTATAGAATATGGATTTATCAAGTAGCGATGGAGCTGCACAGGGGCAGGAAATGTAGAGAATATCACTTAAACGATGAGCGTACTCGTGCTTTACATCAAAAGTGCAAGGGCATAGACTATTTTGTTTGAGCTGAAATTTGGAATATTTATTGCTTATATAGTGTATATTTTGAAAAGTGCTGGGAGTTGATCACAGTCAGCGTAAAAAATATTTTTATTTATAAAAGAATTTAAGCAAAATGGAAATATTAAGCTATCATAAGCATTTTCGGCCAAATTTTCAGTACTTCGCAAACTGCACTGACTAGCTCCCAGCACTTTTTGGGCAGAGAAAATAGACATCTTTTATTGTGTATCATTTTTTTTTTTTGATAAACAAGTGTATGCCCTTGCACTATCCCCATTTCCTATATTCAGCTTAGCAATTCTTTTTTTTTATACAAGTCACGTGACAAACAGCTGATACGTGCGATATAACTAGTTATAACTACAGCCAAGTCCTATCCATTATTGATAGCTATGTTACATTTTATACAAGTAATCAGTTGCTTTGTTACAATTTTTCAAAGAAGTAATACATATTTAAGCGGTGCAAATGCCACATTTTCCATATCGGTCCTTAACATAGCTGAGTTGGGTCAAAGGGAGTTGTTTTGTAAAATTTCATTGCAAAAGTTCAAAAACTGTTTGAAATATCAGAATATCAGATATCAGGAGGAAACCAAAGTGTTACAGGCAGAAATATAGACAGACCGACAGCTATTTAGCTAGAAGTCCGGACAGCCAGACTGACCAAAATTAATATCCGTCACTTTCAATTTGACAACTGGGACAAAACATTTCATCATAGCTTTAAAGAAAAAACATATATAATTGATACCTTGAAAATCTGAGAACCCTATGCAGATAAGATTTAATATAGAAATAAAAAAGTAAAATTTAAAATGCAAAACTATCTTTGTTACAGGTAGATTGAATTTTAATATTTCATTAGAGTCTCCTTTTCTACGCCAACACTGAGAACTTTCCATGTCCTATTATGTTTTTTGTAATTATCGTAACATGCAAATGATCATGGGGGTTTTAATAATTAAAAAAAATATATCAAAACATCCACTTTTTCCTGGGGTATTGATTAATCAAATATCATTATATCCATGAATTTCTAATTACGACTTATGTTTTCTTCATTGGATGGAAAGGAAACTTTCCAAATAGATATTCTTTTTATGAATTCAAGAAAATATGTTTATTTGTAAGAATTTTTCGAAAAGTATTGATGAAATCCAAACACTCCATAATGAAACATAGATATGACTGTAAAATTTCAGAAAGCTAAATCTCTAAAATCCATAATAGTGCACATAGAAAGATTTTGGTATATGGGTTTTTAACATTGTATGTAGTTCTGGTTTATGTACAAAATTCAATTGATGATCGTTCTGAATTCTCAGAATATATATCAGATGCTTTAATTTAAATATATATGTATGCTTAGGAATACAAATATAAAAATTAATTCCATTACAGTGTTTAAATTAAACATTTATATAAATCGTCGACGTTTACCTATTAGAGATGTTTAATTTTATTCATATTTTTTTATAAATAAGAAATGCTCACTTTTATTGACACATTAATTTGATAAATCCGATTAAACCCGAAATTTATATTTGAGATGTTTTTTTAAAACACTTAAGCCCTCATACCCCAAATATTGGAATGTTTCTTAGTCGCAGGAGCATAATTCTGTCAAAAATGGCTTCATCGTACTCAAAGCAAAATTTGACCTCATTTTTTATCATAAATGTGTGTACCGGGTTCATTTAAATATGTGTAATCTCTGCAAAGAAAATTAAAGGAAACTGATGTTGGACCGATCAACAGATCGACGGACAGTAGCAAAGCAATATGCACTTCCGTCTTCGAAGGGGGCATAAATATCCCATAATTGTTTTATATTTAATTTAACTTCAGAGTACCTCTTCGTACAATCAAATCACTTTTTAAAAACAAAGTATTTTTGCAAATGCTCAAAAACAGGGTAAGTGTATTTTACGAGTTTCGTTTTTAATAAGAGCAGCTTGCAATGATTTCAAAAAGCCAGGTAATTTCACTACAACAAATCTAAACTTACAACAGTACTAACCTTGCATTCTTCAGGTCTTCCTGACGAGAAATGGTCTTCAAGCACAACAAGCACAAATGTATCAACTTCATATCAAATTACAACAGAAAAATTAACATCAGCCCCAAAAGAAACAGAGAGGACAAATGATGAAAACAAAATAACATACACAGAAGTAAGCGGTCTAGAAAGGATAACACGTGAAGAGGAGATCTCTTTTGGGAATACGGAAGAAGGCACAAGAGATATAAGTATCCTATCTCCCGAGCCGACAACAAATGAGGGAATATTAAGCACATTGATTGAATACACAACGACAGCAGATTCAAGTACCATTGGAGAGGAAGTTCCATCAACAATTTCTCGGAATATAAGTTTATTATCATCCCCTAATATAGAGGAAACAACGTCAGGTATTTTTCCCGATGGCGTTACATCTTTCCCGACTTGTTTTCAATCCAATTCAGTTTATTTGTCACTTATTGTTTTTATATATAAGATATCATTATACGAAGGTACAACCGTTATCTTTTGATTTCCATCATGCATGCTGGAATCTGTTGCATTTAAAAATGGTTATTTTGTATTTTTTGTATGTATATATGTATTTTAAATTCTTTTAAGATTATAAAACACCCAACATCACTCCGACACTGAACGTCTCTATTATCGACAATATATCGGAGCTTTATATTGGCATGAAAGCCATAGTCAGGATAATTCTGACGTCACAGACGGGACATTTTGACGTTATGGTCATTTCAATGTCACAAAACCAAAACCAAGAAAATTTTGACATTGAACTAAAAGAGTGCAAAGTTGGACGGGCAATTCAGAATAGAATCTCATATTTTAATCCTGTTTCACGGATTTTGGAAAACGTAAGTAAAACATTTCTTATGATAATCATATTATATTATCATTTTATTGCATTTTTTCCAGTTCCACGGCAATTTAGTTTTCTCTTTTTGGCAACGGATACGAAATGCAACCCATCAAAATGGTATATTCAAAAACTGTTTACTTGTTCTAAGGAGGGGATAGCCCTTTCAGACCCAAACGTAGAAAATAGATCTCTCACTTACATGTGTAAAACGTAATTTTATAATTTCCTTCTTTGAGAAATTATACTATGATGTCTGTTGCAAAAAAATAATATATGTACATTGTATCTCTTAGCTGAATGAAAAAAGGGATAAAATTTAATGTTTTCACTATATATAAAACTGAATGGTTCAATTTATTGTCAATGAATTTTTCACTGTGTAATCATAATAACTGAAAAGCATTCAAAGAGAAGCAAATTTGTTTACTAAACATTATATAAAATTTATTACAGTAGAGCTCCTTTTATTTCTTTTTCCTCATCTTTTTTGACATTTCAGACTGGATTTGCAAAAACACTTCATTATCGCTATCACTGGGTAGATGCTGATGTATATCCCTCAGAAAGTGAGGAACATCAACAATTTAGCTGTGAATTCTACGTTTTCTTTCACAATGCAAAGGGATTAGTTGATAGACAACAAATCGCAACTAATTACCATACCATGACTGTATTAGGAAAACGCAGTAAAGACTTCAATGGAGAAGTTATATTTACCGCGAGAACCTCTCTTCTGGTGAGCTGTATTTTTTTTTTATTTCTAAAAATAATTTTTCGCCTGAGAATTTTCAGAATGTATGATTAAGGAAAAGTCAATGTAGCCAATTTACACACGTATTAGAATAAAAGTAATACCGTGTTCAAATTATTATTGTTTTAGTAGTTTATTTGCCAAACC